AGCTAAAGGTGACATAGATACTTTATTATGGTATAGTATTTAAATATGTGCCTGAGAAACACATAATATTGACCCTTTAAAGACGTCTACACTGAATCTGGAATTGAAAAAATCAACAGGAAGCTTCTTTTCGGTGTGTACATAACGTAATTCTGACAAACTGATCAAGTATATAACGTTTATTAGCAATTTAGACATAAAAAATGTTTCATACYTTATGTAGTGTGACAGGGCCTTAACAGATACAAACTAAAACATGACCACCTGCCTGTTGACAGCTGTAATGGCTACAGACAGATGAGACCACTACTGGGTAAAAACAATACGATGCTGACTGAGGGGTCTTTGTTAAATCTGGTTCAATCCTTCAGTCTTGGAGTCAGGAGGAGCAGCTTCACTTCCAGCTGAGACGTTTAGAACCTCTGATCAAATGAAACATCAAACAMGTGTGGGGTCAGGAGGACAGGGGTCCAGCATAACGCTGACGGGGTCACTCACTGTAACTGCACCGTAAGAACAATCAAAGTCCTCGTTGTGGAACCTCTGATATGTGATGTCCTCTCCATCCATCCCCGGCTCCGCTTTGTGCAGCACCTCCTTCCTGTACAGCCTGTAGGCCACTATGAAGATCCCAGCCTCGGCCGCTTGGAACAGGGCGTACAGCAGGGGGAACATGTACATCCCCCCCATCAGCTGCGGGGGGAAGGCCAGCTTCAGGATGGCWGTGCACAGCTGCACGTTCTGGCAGCCCGTCTCCAGAGAGACCGCCCTGCGGCTGTTGGGGGGCAGGTGGAAGAGCAGCGCCAGGCCGTACCCTGCAGCGTAGCCGCACAGAGGCATCAGGACGGCCACCACGTAGACCGAGGCCGGGATGGTGGAGAGCAAAGCTGGTCCCAGCATGACTCCTGTCAGGATGAAGAGCATGACGAGGGTGACGAGCAGAGACCACAGAGACGCCTGCAGACACAACCAAACTGCATGTCAGCATCAGTCCACAAGAACAGGAGACACATCTCCTCCGGTTCATACCATCGTCTGAAGATAGACATGACAGAGCTGCAGCTTTATGGTCAAAGCTTGAAAAGCATGTGTGCAGTTTCACACTGGATGTACAGTTTACTGCCACTCTAACCCTGTAAAACTCACTTAGTTTTGTGTTGAAAGGTTGATTTGCTGTGGTGGACTTCTGGACTTTGGTTGATTCCAAAGTTGTACAATCAGTYATTACTTTCTATAAGTTTTAGTTCTGCGGTTCATGAGATATTTTACTAACAGAACTGTTTATGCTTTTTTAAGCATAGATAACATATATGAGTCTTAGCTGCAGCCACACCTAYTTTTAGTTTAATAAAAGTGACTGAATCATTTTATACAATAAATTAAGTATTTGTGTTTCAGTGAACATTTTAATATCTTTTAAACTTTTAAACATTTTTAAATGTTTACTTTTGCTGAAAGTTGTAAGAGGTTTGTTCTGACCACTGAGCTGATTCAAGTTTTTTTTTAAATAATACGTCAAATACATCTTCTGTCAGAGTCATCCATACATTTTTCTGCCCAAATAAAATTTATTTACGTATTTCATTTCACTAATTTAAGCAGGCAGGGGAGGTCTGAAAGCATGTTTTATGATTCTGTTTGTTTTCTTTAAGATGAAGGAAGTTTAAATTCATCATTTGATGTCTTTTAAACAGTTTTAAGCTTCAAATAACCATCACCTATACCATGGGTCTGCAACCTACGGTTCTGGGGCCACATGTGGCTCTTTGGTCCCTCTAGTGGCTCTTTGAAAATATGACCGAACGTAACAGAATTTATTTGTTTGTTTTTTTATAACCACAACAGAAATCAATTCATATGCAAATATGTGATCAATACTATTAATACAAAAGTAAAACCTGTTAGCTCATGCTAGCCTGTTGTTTACTTAAATAATCCAACTTTTTTCTATGACCTTTCTCTCAAATCCACCAGAATTACCTTTAAATAATTTGAAGACTACACAATAATAAGAATAAAAAAATATGCCTGAATTATTCATTTGTACTAGTTTTTTTTAATGAAATTCAGTATAAACTATATACAGTATTTTTC